GCTCGATCTATTAGAAATGTACTGACCTAGGTCAACATATAAACTGCTCTAGCTCTAATGCCCTAATCTTAGCTTAGATCACTCATGCATACTTTGTTAGGAAGATATTTCTTCCTATCAACTAGTAAGGAAATCATAATCTAAACATTCAAGCCGACTCAATGGGGAAATAACACTCATTAGTCACCCAGAACACATATCATAATATCTTATCCTCCATTCCAGCACAGCGGAAAACATAAAAATCGTTATGCATCATAAATTCTCATCCTAGGGGTATTTCGTTAAATTTTCTTAACATATAAAATATTTTCATCCAAATAGCCCTCCTAGAGTCCTAAACATGCATATTCTAACACCTAAGGAAAGATATACTCGCATGCTATTATGTTCTTACACAAGCATTACTTGAGAAAAGTCAGAATGACTATTTATATGGATGACGTATGCCTTGTTGAGCAAGCTTTTTCTTGTGTTAGGAGCTTCAAATTTTCTAAAATTTCTCTAGTATAACCTAATTCAAATCATAATAAGGTCTACATCGAAATCGGGGAAAAACAATCGAATATAGGTTAAAACGGGTAAAAATTGGAACGATACAAAGAAGATTAGCATGGCCCTTGTGAAAGGAGGACACACACAAATTTGTCTGATTTTTTAAAAATCAGAGTGGCGCAGCGGAAGCGTGGTGGGCCCATAACCCACAGGTCCCAAGATCGAAACTTGGCTCTGATATGATGCACAACCTTAAGACATGTTTTTGAAAGTTATGATATAAAATCATTTGGAACCTCATGAATTATTGTATGTTACAAGCATCGGGGTATTACCCCTTATGATGAACCTTCTAAAAGGGAAAATGATCATGATGTTAGGATGATCGCTACTCCTTTCGGGTTTCTGACAACAACACTGGAGAATGCTAGCCCAACTAGAAGGGACCCAGAAGGCGTGTAATAATTTCGAATAGAAGGGACCCAGTGTAATAGGACCGACTTAAAATGACAGGTCCCATGGGGTCACTTACTGAGTATAAAATAGGAATACAAAAATGTCGAAGGGACCCAGTGTAATAGGACCGACTTAAAATGACAGGTCCCATGGGGTCACTTACTAGTATCAAATAGGAATACAAAAATGACAGGTCCCATTCATGTTTGTATGTCTTTTCATTTTCTAGCTCCAATAGTGGGATTCATGTTTGTATGTCTTTTCATTTTCTAGCTCCAATAGTGGGATTCATGTTTGTATGTCTTTTCATTTTCTAGCTCCAATAGTGGGATTCATGTTTGTATGTCTTTTCATTTTCTAGCTCCAATAGTGGGGTCACTCACTGAGTATAAAATAGGAATACAAAAATGACAGGTCCCATTCATGTTTGTTCGCTACTCCTTTCGGGTTTCCGACAACAACACTGGAGAATGCTAGCCCGACTAGAAGGGACCCAGAAGGCGTGTAATAATTTTGAATAGAAGGGACCCAGTGTAATAGGACCGACTTAAAATGACAGGTCCCATGGGGTCACTTACTGAGTATAAAATAGGAATACAAAAATGATAGGTCCCATTCATGTTTGTATGTCTTTTCATTTTCTAGCTCCAATAGTGGGATTCATGTTTGTATGTCTTTTCATTTTCTAGCTCCAATAGTGGGATTCATGTTTGTATGTCTTTTCATTTTCTAGCTCCAATAGTGGGATTCATGTTTGTATGTCTTTTCATTTTCTAGCTCCAATAGTGGGATTCATGTTTGTATGTCTTTTCATTTTCTAGCTCCAATAGTGGGATTCATGTTTGTATGTCTTTTCATTTTCTAGCTCCAATAGTGGGATTCATGTTTGTATGTCTTTTCATTTTCTAGCTCCAATAGTGGGGTCACTTACTGAGTATAAAATAGGAATACAAAAATGACAGGTCCCATTCATGTTTGTTCGCTACTCCTTTCGGGTTTCCGACAACAATACTGGAGAATGCTAGCCCGACTAGAAGGGACCCAGAAGGCGTGTAATAATTTCGAATAGAAGGGACCCAGTGTAATAGGACCGACTTAAAATGACAGGTCCCATGGGGTCACTTACTAGTATAAAATAGGAATACAAAAATGACAGGTCCCATTCATGTTTGTATGTCTTTTCATTTTCTAGCTCCAATAGTGGAATTCATGTTTGTATGTCTTTTCATTTTCTAGCTCCAATAGTGGGGTCACTTACTGAGTATAAAATAGGAATACAAAAATGACAGGTCCCATTCATGTTTGTATGTCTTTTCATTTTCTAGCTCCAATAGTGGGGTCACTTACTGAGTATAAAATAGGAATACAAAAATGACAGGTCCCATTCGTGTTTGTATGTCTTTTCATTTTCTAGCTCCAATAGTGAGGTCACTTACTGAGTATAAAATAGGAATACAACTTAAAATGACAGGTCCCATTCATGTTTGTATGTCTTTTCATTTTCTAGCTCCAATAGTGGGGTCACTTACTGAGTATAAAATACTCAAGCCACGTGCTACTTCTATATTGTAGGTAAAGGTTGCACGATTGACACTATATTTCAGTCCCATAGTGGGGTCACTTATGGAGTATAAAATACTCAAGCCACATGCTACTTCTATATTTCAGGTAAAGGTTACATGATTGGCACTATATTTCAGGTAAAGGTTGCACGATTAACGACGACATCGCAAGACCATGACATATGCATAGGGTAGATTGCATTTAAATTTCTTAGACTCTAGGTTAGTATAGGACACGCTTATATTTAATATTTACCTTGGTTTATTTAATATTTCTTTTGTATTGTTTTAAAGACATTTTCTTAAACATGTAAGCCCATAACGTTCTTTTATGGAGATGATTTAATTGATTATTTCCGCATAAGAAGTTACGTTATATATACGGTACCGACTTAAAGTTAGTAGAAATCTAGGGTCCTTACATTTCTCCCCTCAATTCTTTCATGAAACTTAAAAGATGAAGTCTCAAGAAAGAGTTAGGGACCGATATCTCACCTTTTCGTGGACTCTATCCTAAATTGTCAGCTTTCAAACTTGGTGGAATATTATGGCCATGATTTTTTCACAAGGATTCTTCCTTATACTCCTCTCAAACTAAATGAATTAATTTAGGATGACGACTTTATGTAAGTGTGGCCACTATTGGATTCAAACCTTCGGTCTGCATCTGAACCTAAAACATAAGAGTTTGTGGCCACTATTGGATTCAAACCTTCGGTCTGCATCTGAACCTAAAACATAGAGTTTGATCCTCCTAGGCAGCTTGATCTCAGACGAATTACCCCTCAATTCCTTCCTCGGATATACTTTATTCAGTTCCCTTAAGTCTAATGAAAACCTCAATTTTAAATAAAATGGGCTAGAAATAAGAGTTTGAGTTTTACCCCCAAAACTTACATGATATTATATTTCTCTAATTGGGAACATTCTGGGAGCTATTGTCAAAATTTAGTGCTTATTGTTAGTTTGAATTAGTTAAGATATTCATAATTAGCTAATATTTGGAGAATATATTAGTTATAGAATATATCTTAGATTCAGTTAATATTTTTCCCTTTATATTTGATGAGTAGTATATTTTATTTTATTCTTAAGATTTAGGTAGTTTATATTTTCATTATTTGTAGGTATTAATTGGTATCTTGTATCTATTTAAACGTTGTGAATATCAATGAAGATTGAACCTTCGATCTCAATTCTATTTCTTATTCTTAAATCTGTATTCTTGGTTGAGTAATAATATTTTCATATCTATTCACACTTTTAAGTGGTAGATATTGCCTCAGTTGATATTAGAGCCAAGTTGGTACAATTTGATATTATTACTCAACGAGATGAATGGGGAAGTGCTTCTATGGGTATAGGTATAGAAAAGCTTGTTGGCAATAACTATAGTTATTGGAAATTATGTATGGAAGCTTATCCACGGGGCAAGATTTGTGGGATTTAATTAAAGGTGATGACACATAAATTCCAGCAGATACTCCATATATGCAGAATTACGTCGACAATGGAAGATCAAATGCGGAAAAACCTTATTTACCTTGCGAACTTTGATTAGCAAGGAGTATATTGATCATGTTTGTGATTTAAAGTCACCAAAGCAAATATGGGAAACACTTCAAAAGTTGTTCACTAAGAAAAATACCACTCGACTGCAATATCTAGAGAATGAACTAGCTATGGTAACTCAAGGTAATTTTCTGTTGAAGAATATTTTTTGAAAGTGAAGAATCTGTGTTTTGAAATTTCAGAATTAGATGTTGAGAAGCGAGTGAGTGATGCTCGATTACGGCGTTATATTATTCGTGGACTACAAAAAGATTTTATGCCCTTTATTTCCTCAATACAAGGGTGGACAAATCAACCTACAGTAATTGAACTGGAGAATCTTCTTTCCAATCAGGAAGCCTTGATTAAGCAAATGACTAACAACAACGAGTTTTCCCTAAAGTCATAAGATGTGTGTATGTCAAAAATCAAAGGAGACAGAATTTTCATTCAAAGCCTTCATCAAGCAATGAAAATCAATTCAGGAGTGAGGAGTCATCAAAGAAGCCATTTAAAGCTTGTTACAGGTGTGGAAAACCTGGCAATTTTAAATGAGATTGTCAGGTGAAAATGGTGTGTCGTCGTTGCGGAAAGCCAAGCCATATTAAGCCAAATTACCGAGTCAAAATGCAGGAATCAGAAGCAAATGTTGTACATGAAAGTAAAAATTCTTCGTATCCAATTTGGGAATATTGCTTAACCACTGAGGTTCTCGACTAGCCAACAAACGTGACTTCAACTGTACATCAAGATGATGTCTCTACAGATGCTCATGCCTTTATAGACTACAATGAAAAATGGATTGTCGATTCTGGTTGTTCTCATCATGCAACTCGAAACAAAACTCTTCTATCAGATGTTTGTCCACATTGTCAAAAGAAGAGTAAAGGGCCCAACAAAGTGGTTGAATTGGAATCACGGCTTTCTCAACTTCAGGAGGAACTGAAGAAACAAGTGATCAACCAAGTGCATCGGAATCACACAAAAAGCAAGCCCAACAGGAAGCAGAAAAAGCAAAGAAACAACTATCAGATATGTATGAAGAATCCCAACAGCAGGTGTTTGAGCTCTCAACTTCTGAGAAGATAGTGTTCAAGAACTGCACAAACTTTCTCAAGATCCCGATCGAGCATGGAAGTTCAAACTCTAAGTTGTTCAAAAGCAGCACGCAATGGATGCCGCTGCATTGGCCTCTGCCATGAATGAAGTTCAGAGGCTCAAGATCCAGCTGAACATGGTGTCTGAATCCAACGAAACCCGAAGTAACCTCACTAAGTCGGTGGAAAACCTTCAATCAGATGGAATCAAAGCTGTTGAAGCCTACAACTCCTTGTCACTAAAATTGGAGCAATCAAAAGATCATAATTCATGGAGGGAAGGGAAGATGCCAGAAAGGTTTAAATTTCGGTCGTGTTGGTGGTGGATTTAGGAATTATGGCTCGAATGGTTCGTATGAGAGGAGTAACAGGTATTCGAATGGGGATGATTCATCTAACTCGAAGTGGGGTTCATCTAGGGTCTTCGATGAAAATAGGAGGAAGAAAGATGAAGGTAATTCTAGTAGCGGCGGTGGTGGCAGTCGACCGAAGCTTAATCTGCAGCCACGTACGCTGCTGGTGAATGATGTGAAGTCGTCGGAGATATCAGGGATGACGGCAAGGTCCAAGAGTTCGAATCCATTTGGAGAGGCGAGGCTGAGGGAAGAGGTTCTAGCTGAGAAAGGACAAGATTGGAAAAAACTTGACGAGGAGTTAGAGTCGAAAATTATTGAAGTGTCAGGGGAGAAGACTGAAAAATCCAACCCCATTGGGAAAAAGAGCTTTGGCAAAGGAACTGGTCAGGCTGCTAAGGACAAAACAAAGAAGAGCTGGAGGGAAGCCGAGTTTCAATAACTCTAGACCAGTGGGGCGGGGTGCTCAACCTGATAAAAATCCTAGTGATTTTGTGGATGCTAATTGGGCTGGTGACGTGAACGACAGATGCTCCACAAGAGGTTTTTGTTTTACAGCAGGCTCTGCTGCAATTTCATGGTGCAGTAAAAAGCAAACCACTATTGCTTTGTCAAGTTGTGCAGTAGAATATGTATGTAACGAGAAGGGTTTTAAAAAGGCAAAAAAAAAAAAACGCCTTAAATCTCGTCGAAAATCACGAGAATTTCGGTGAGGCATGCCTTGCCAACAAGGACGTATTAATTCCTTGAGTCCTTATGTTAAACCCTAGCCACCTTAGTAGCCGTCTTTTCTTTTTGAGCCACTGTCGTACTTGTGAGGGAGGAGATGAAAGGTTTAGGTGAGGAATTGAAAACGTCTCGAGAGTTCAGACTTCTGTGAGTCCTTAGATAGGGGCAAACCGGTGCTAGGGTATGTTGGGTAAGGAGGGACAGACGCACCACCAGAGACAGACGGACGAACGACGACCATTCCACTGGCGACAGTAATCGAGTTCTTTGATTACGGTTGTTGAGGCTTTCGAGCGAGGAAGACGAAGCGGCCGCTGAAGGTTGACCCTTCGGCACTCTGCGAGTTTGTCTCGGTCAGCGCACAGGCCGCACTTCGCGGGTCGAGCTCGGACACCACCATTGGGCCTCGTTCCCTTTCGTCCCAACCCAGAGACACATCTAGGAACCATGTGCCATCAGTGTCCCTGGGCAGCCCATCAGTTTCGACGTTGTGGCGGCTTCGTTGCACTCGCGGCTTGGCGGCGCGACATACGTGTCAACCATCTGAGGAGGTAGTTAGGCGCCGGAGTTAGCGTTGTGTGTGACTTCGGCTAAGGCCAAGGAGGTAAGTAACCTTACTGTTGGCATTAGTTATGTATGTATGTTGGTGCGTGCCTTGTGGCCCTTGCATGCACCATGTGTGTTGTTGATGTATGCTAGGTTAGGTGTTTCTTGCGGTGAAATGTTGTGTATGCCATGTTTATGTATGTGATTCTTGCAGTGAAATGCTAAGTACGTCATGTTTATGTATATGATGTTTATGACACGGTTTGCTACCTGTATGTATGAGCTTGACATGTCATGATTGTAATGGGAACCCCGCAGGCCATGAATGTGATGACTAGTGATCTTGACATGTCATGATCTGCTTACTTGATGATTTCCCCAGGTATGAACTGCTTATAATAATGAACACATTGTCGTTATTGAGACTGTCTTACGTGAACTCTTGTTCTGTTGATTATGAAAGTATAAGGTAACGTCGCTAATTAGATTAGAGAAAATTAGGGGCGTTACAGTTGGTATCAGAGCCCTAGGTCACAGATCTTGTAGACTGGTCTACGATGTAGACCTAAGGCATTTCCATGGTCCTCCAGCAACCACATCGTCACCATCAGGTATATGTATATATTGTAAGGAAGAATGGTTGTACGCTCTCTTGTCCGGATGTTAATGTGTTCCATGATGTGACAGATGTATGCTTGTGTGTGTATCCGGCTAATGCCATTGTATGTGTACGCGATGTATGCCCTTGTGATTGTTCATAGAAGTGGATAGATTAGTATATGCCACCCAAGACGCAAGGAGGGAGTACTAGGAAGCGAACCCCAGTTAGGGGTAGGAGCGGAAGGGGACGGGGTCCCAACTGCGAGAACACCGTGGAAGGGCCCGACGTAGCGATGACGTGCCCGCCGCCAGCGACACCCTAGCCCGCCCCAGACTCAACAGCGAAATTAGTAGACGTATTGCGGATCGTAGTACGAAACTTGTCTGGTGACCAGCCAGCTAATGACTCAGCCACCACTAGGGAAGCCAGATGTCTGTGGGATTTTAAGAGGGGTGACCCACAAAGCTTCAAGGGAACTTCCGATGACCCGACCGAGGCATAGTTGTGGCTGAGTTCCATAGAGACCGTGATCTGGCTGACAAACTGCCCTAAAGATCAAAAGGTAGAGTGCGCAGCATTCATGCTACGTGCCGATACACATGTATGGTGGTGATCCACCCGAGAGCTTATCAGACCTGGGGGGTGAGATTTCATGGACAGAATTCAAGGAGGCTTTTGAGGAGGCGTACTACCCAGAGGACGTCTAGACTCGCAAACATCAGGAGTTCACCCGCTTGAAGCAGAGAGGGCGTTCAGTTACCGCTTATGCTAGAGAGTTTGCCAAGTTGAAATTCTACGCTCCAGACTTGGTAGACACCGAATACAGAACGGCTCGCCAGTTTTTGCTGGGGTTAGACAGAAAGATCCGTAATGTTGTTGAGGCGATAGCGCCTACTACATATGCCGCCGCCCTGAGGGTAGCAAGGGCTATGGAGGGAACCGGTGGATCAAATGAGTCCTGCTCATCGACTGAGAGACAAAAACGACACCGTGATGGGGATGACCGTCACAAATCTCGTTCATCGACCGAGAGGCAGAGACGACATCGTCACCGGGATGACCGTCATGGTTCATACCCATCACTGACACCGAGACGACCAGATAGATGGCATCGCGACTCTAGGCGGGGCCAACAAGGAAGGGAAGGCAGATCGGACAATAGACCCGTGTAACGAGCAGGGGGAAGGACCATTGGGGTTTGTGTTCAGCTCGCACGAAACTGCCTACGATGTGGGATGGAGGGTCACTTGGCCAGGGACTGCCCGGGAGGTCACGCCAACGATACTGGGGGTTAACAGAGACCATTGCGCATAACGGATGGCCCCACTCCGAACCGTCCTCCAGCAAGGGTCTATGCCTCTACCAGCAAGGGCACTGAAGACCCGGATGCGGTGGTGACAGGTATGCTATCTGCCCTTGGCCACCTTGCTTGACACTGTTTGACTCTAGAAACCTTGTCATAGGATTTCTTAGTGGGTACCCCGACAGGGGTGGATATTATCGATGTAAGGTAAATAATGGGCACGTAAATAGTACCTGGAGTTAGTTTAGATGTAGGCTTAATGGTAGTCGATAGGGACCGTGTGTGGTGTATTTTTTCTAAGAAAGGGTTGGTTAGCAAAAAAAAAAAAAAAAAAAAAAAAAAAAAAAAAAAAAAAAAAAAAAAAAAAAAAA